ACCCTGCTTGTTTTCCACGGCAGCTGCTCCAACCCACGTTTCCAGCTGCAGTGCGTGACACGCTAGTCTCTCCACTGCCTCACCGATCCTTGTTCCTGTTTTTTTTTATAGTATGTATCCCGTTGAGTGTGAAGCGGTACTTCCCTGTGGTTTTCAGTTTCGTTCCTCTAACGAGTAATGAGGTCGAGCATCTTCTCATGTGCTTTCTGTGTATCTTTTCTTAGAGAAAAATCTATTAAAGTCCTTTGTCCATTTTTAAATCGGGTTGTGTTTCACCCTTTCCATTGCCAATAATTTTTAACCTGACTCTAACCAAGCCTTTAGATCTGACTTCCAGTGCACAGGAAATGCATGGATAAAGGCACTGTCTTAAAACAAACAAACAAACAACAACAAAAAAAAAAACCTTCAAGTAAAACCATCAGACCAATGCAAAATGTAGAACATTCTGTAAGACAGCTTGTCTGGACTATCCAAAAAGTCACTGATATGGAGAAAAGGTGGGTGTGGGGTGGAAAGTTTCTGGAATAAGAGAATAAAGAGACAACTGAAAGCTATGTGTGAGCCTGGGTCAGATCTAAATTTGAATGATTGAACAAATTTTGGTGATGAGTGAGGACATGTGATGCGAAAGAATGTTAATTCACTTAGATTGGCGATAAACCTGTGGTTATTTATGCAGGAAAACCTTAATCTAGGAGATGCGTGCTGAAGTGTAGACACAGAGCTTCAGGAGGACTGCCACACAATTCCAGATTTTTGGAAGAAACGTAAAGCACACCCAGGTATGTTCCTACATGTGCTGATAATGCAAACATGGCAAATGTTCACAACTGTGGGACCCCAGTGGTGACAGTGAAGGGGACCATCGTTCCATACTGGGACACACTGGGATATAAAGGGGACCTAAAGGGGAGCCTGGGTGGCTCAGTCGGTTGAGCATCTGACTTCGGCTCAGGTCATGATCTCGCAGTTTGTGAGTTCGAGCCCCGAGTCGGGCTCTGTTCTGACAGCTCGGAGCCTGGAGCCTGCTTCAGATTCTGTCTCTCTCCTCTCTTTCTCTCTCTCTCTCTCTCTCTCTCTGTCCCTCCCCCACTCACACTCTGTCTTGCTCTCCTTCAAGAATAAACATAAAAAAAAAATTTTTAAGGGTACCTAAGGGATACTGTAAGATCTGACCTCAATACTGCTCCTGTCACCCTCACTCCGCCCAGCCACCGGCCTCCTGGATTCTCTTGAACAATGGAGGCACAGCCCCCTCTCGGGGCCTTTGGGCTTGCCAACCCCCTCTATGTGCCGCGCGCTCTTCCCCTGAATGTCGCGTGAATTACTCTCTGAACTACTCAATACTTGCTTACGTTTGCCACCTCAGTGACGTCTCCCCAGGCCACCTCATCTACAACTGCAACCCCTCTCAGCACTACCCACCATGCTTCGCTGTCATTTTCTTTCTACGGTCAATGCCATCCAGCCAAAGAGACCACCGGGAACACTCCTGTAGTCAGAGTTGGCTTCGTCAACTCATTGCCACGGAGGAGGCCGCCCACCACAGGGAACTGTGGTTCTGTGGGGCCGGCGTTTAGCAACTTGGGCTCGAGGAAGCAGGACTTTGCCCTGGATTGGATGCTGCCAAGAGGTGGGAGTAGCCCTAGGATCTAGTATCTTAAAAATTCCTCTCTAGCAGGTGAGAAGAGCAGAAGGAGGCCGGAGCCACCGTTGCCAAAGCAGCAGTCGCCCTCAGCAGCCAGGGTGGGTGCCTTCCTGATCTCATAGTCCACTGAAATAAATAAAAACGTTCTTTCTGAGGGGGAAAAAAGTAGAGCAGGCAAGATAGTGCACAGGCAGGGGTGGGGAGTTGCAATTTTTAACGGGGTGGTCAATTTGGGCCTATTAGTAAGGTGACACTTAAGGGAGTGACCAAATTGGGGAAGGGCCTTCCAGGGAGAGGCCCCAGGCAGGACTGAGGAGGACAGAAAGTGGGGAGCAGGGCTGGGATGGCGGGGAGCGGGATGGGGGCAGGAGACTTCAGCTCGCTCGCAGAGGATCAGAGACCACAGCAGTTTTCAGGGATGAGAGAGGAACGTCCAAGAGGACTGTGGTTTCTGGCCCGAGCCTTGGGAAGAGAGGATGGTGCTGCTCGTCACCAGGCCCCGGGGAAGGGCAGGAGCAGGGAGGAAGAGGCTTTGAGGGAAGATCAGGGCCTCATGCGAGATGCACGGGTGAGGCTGCGAAATACTCCCTGGGTACAAGTCTGAGCTCAGAAAGGACATGTGCACGGATGCCAGCAGGAATCCCAGGTCACAGATGGAAGTTAAGGCCATGAGGCGGACGGAGGGCTGGCAGAGAGGAGGACAGGATGGGGGCTGCAGCACAAGTTTGAGGGCTGAGGACACAAGCCTATCCAAAAGAAGAAAGGAAGGGTAGAAAATGTGGGGGGGCAAAGTGTACTCCCAGCTGCACTAACCACTCGGGTAAAGACTGGGAGGTGTGTCTGGGACGGGCTTGGGCATCCGAGGCCCCAGCCCGCAGGAGGAGGGGATTCTGTGGATGCCCTGGGGACTAGGGAAGAGTCCCTGTGCTCTGCCCTCAGGCCCTCCCTGGCTTCTCCCCTGCTCCTCTCAGCAATGCTCTCTTGGGTCAAGGGCCAGTCTCATCTGCAGTCCCTGCCTCTGCCTGAGCCTCTGGGGATTCGAGGTTGGAAGGAGGTCAGGGCTGGAAGCCTAAGACCAGTTTTGAATCAAGGCTGATTCCGTCCCAGGCCTGGCGCACTGAGAGTTCCTCCAATCCTCTCCCCACCCTCCATTTCGCTGGAGACCCTCTCCTGGGAGGAGTTTCCAAGGTAAGGGGCTGGCAGTCTCCTGTGGGTCCCTTCCTCACCCCGGATTTGGGCCCGAATACCGTCCCCATCTTCTGTCAAGACGTGGACAGGGAAATCATTTCTGCTGAACTTCAGACTTGCTTAGTGACAGTGATAGCACCCAGCCAGCAAGGGCACCCCCAGGGAGCCTCAAATGGCGACTTTTGGAATCATAGGTCAAGGTTCCCAGGTGACTGGTTCAAATTCACCCAGAGCTGTGACAGGTACACCCCTGCTGAGTTGTAGGATGTAAAGATGCAATTTCGAGGGAGTTCGGCTAAGCAACCTAAAACGTTAGTGTCAAGATACTAGTGATGTCCATTCACCTCCATAGTCTGTAGTTCTCACAGGCTGGGTTATTACACGCACGTGCACACACACTAGGAATCTCTATGCCCAGTGTGGGGTCTAAACTCAGGACCCGAGATGAGGCATCGCATGCTCTCAGCTGAGCCGCCAGGCGCCCCTTATATGCATGTTCGTAACTTATCGCAGAGTCCTAGGAAAATAATTAAAGGGTTATCTCTGAAGACAAGCAGGTGAGAAGAGAACATTTTTTTGGAGAGAAAAAGAGGGAGAGAGAGAGAGATAAGCGGGGGAGGAGCAGAGAGAGACGGAGGGAGAATCCCAAAAAGGCTCTGCACTGACACCACAGAGCCGCACTTGGGGCTCGAATTCACAAACCATTAGACCATGACCTGAGCCGAAATCAGGAGTCAGGCACTCCACCGACTGAGCCACCCAAGCACCTCTTATGATTTTTAAGTGATCTCTACATCCAATGTGGCACTTGAACTCACAACCCTGAGATCAAGAGTCTCACACTCTACCAACTGAGCCAGCCAAGTGCCCCAAGTTTAATTTTTTAATTAACTCTTTAAAGGGGCACCTGGGTGTGGAGCCTGCTTAAGATTCTCTCTCCTGGGGCACCTGGGTGGCTCAGTCAGTTGAGTGTCCGACTTTGGCTCAAGTTATGGTCTCATGGTTCATGAGTTCAAGCCCCACATCGGGCTCTGTG